GGGGGGGAAAGAGGGATGGGAGAGGGGGAGGGGGAGGGGGGAAAGGGTCACGAAAATCAACTACAATGTATATTGAGAAGTTAAAATAAAAAAATTAATATATATATTCTTATCTATATCTATATAGAGATATGTATGTATGCATATATATGTAAATGATTATGAATATAGTACCACATTGTGTAATCATATAACTCTAAGAGGTTATGTATGAAGATACAATGTTATATGTATGTATGCATATATATACAATGTATGTATCTATTATGTTAACATAGAGTATATGTCATATAATTGAAATGTAATGTATTATATGCAAAATATATATATCTTGTGTAAACATAAAAAAAAAGAAGCCCACTGAAGAAGAGGAGGTTAACACAGACCAGGAGAAAATGGAAGAATCAAGGGGCTAGAAGTCTCTATGAACTCAAAGAGTATGTGTACCAAGAGTCACAAGACTATTAGAGGGCTCTGAGCACAAAATCAAAAAGCATGATACTAAAGATTTAACTAGCTGATTTGGAGCAATGACAAAAATCAGGCTGTGACGCAGAGAGTTGACAGCTAAAACAGAGTGGAAGTGAAGGGTGGATTTTTAAGAAAATCTAAGAAATGAGACACCAGTGTATCAGATGAATTAATCTACATGGACCAGCTCTAGGATTTTGGCAAGAGTTAGGGTAGAGAAGAATACAGAACTAAGTCTCTATGCAAAAAGTTTATAACTTCTTCAAAAGCATCATTTGAATAAAGTGGTAGGTCCCATCATCTGTTTCTCTAGCTTCTGCAACTCTTTATCCCCACAGATGGGGCCCTATGACCCAAAATGGCAGGCTCAGTTCCACTCATTTCTTAAATCAATTCTAACCTGATGCAGGAATAATTTTAAGAGCTCTAACTAAAATAACACTCTGGAGGATGCAGTATCAAATTACCCATGCTAGTCTCTCTCTCTGTATTCCAACCCTAAAAAAAAAGGCCTCTGTCTCAACACAGTATTCCTGGCAAAAAAGAAGGAAAAAATAGTTTTAATATCTAATTCCCACTCTATATCCAATTTTGATAATTAACCCTTGATGCCAGAATATTCCTGTCTTGTCAATCTACAAGATTCCCTGCATTCTTCCTGACAGTTCTCCTCTCAGTGCTTGGGACACTGCTGTAGACTTCCTGGATGCAGACTGTCTGTCAACTAGAATTCCCCACTGCTCCACAAACTTGCCTTTGTTGTGCTCTAGGCTACAGGTTGGTATTTGTCCTTACTCTTTACTAGACCTTTTGGATACTAATTGTAATAAAATTGCCCTCTATTTTGGCTATCCCCTCAGGATAATATTCTTTCTACCAGCACCTGAACTGGGTCTGTCTGTCCAAAATTGTTCCCATATGTGCTTAGTTTCAAAAGCTTGGTTACTTTCAGTCTACCACTATCAAGCCATATTCAGTTGTGTATTCAGATACAATGTCAAGAGACTAGAATCCAAAAAGACCCTTATTTTGAAATCGGATCTATTAATTTGACCATTTGCTAATTAATTATTATAAAACCAAAACTGTAAACTTATGGCTTATAAAGAGCAAAAAATGCAAAGATCATCAAACACTTAAAATGCTAATATTTGGGAAACTTTACATTCACGATACATATAAAAAATAAGCTAGAGATTAAAAGATGTAAGGACTTTGTTTAGAATAAAATAAATTGCCCAATATTTCCCTTTGTATCTTAGCAGATATGGATTGGTCTGACTACCTGAATGAGGTAAGTTGGGGATGCAGCCTATGATGGTGACTGATAGCAAGGTCAAGCCCTTTGGAGTCAACAGCCTGGTTATGAACCCCAGCTCTTCTAATTATTACTTGTGCAACCTAGCGTAGGTTACTTAAGTGCTCTATGTTCCTGTGTCTTCATCTATAACATGGAGATGTGTTACCTCTTAAATTAAACAAAATATGTATGGCAAGTGCATAGCACAGTGTTGACATATAGTCAGAACGAAATAAATGATATTTATCAGCATTAAAGTGAACCTAAGTTATTAATGTGGAATACAGCTAATAATAAAAATGTTTTGATATTATGAACAGATCAATAATTACGAACAATTGTCATGTGAATTAACACATCTGCTGATTTTTAATATCTAAAGACATTTATTAAAACAGTCCACATCATTTCTCAGCCTTTTGGCTAAGATCAAGTGCAAAACAGCCCAGTACCACCAATGCTTATTTAGTATTAGTATTAGTATTATTTAGTATTAGATACACTTACTGGCCTTCCCATTAAGCTCAATTACAATCTCCCCTGTAAAAGTATCTAGCTTATTAATAAACAAGGCACACACTTTTTTTTTTTTTTTTGTCTTTTGTCTTTTTCCGTGTCCGGCAACGGATTGCAACCCTCAGGGTTGTCCCCGTACCGGCCCGGGGACCGGCAACGGGATTGCAACCCTGGTTGTCGCTCCCGCGCTTCGCTCAGCCCGCGAGCGGGAAACGGTCTGTATGTGGGATCCGACCCCTCGGGCGGGAGCGCCGCCGCGCTTCCCAAGCGGCGCACTTATCCAGTGCACCACCGGGCCGGCCCTACAAGGCACACACTTTTTTTTTTTTTTTGTCTCTTGTCGTTTTCCGTGTCCGGCAACGGATTGCAACCCTCAGGGTTGTCCCCGTACCGGCCCGGGGACCGGCAACGGGATTGCAACCCTGGTTGTCGCTCCCGCGCTTCGCTCAGCCCGCGAGCGGGAAACGGTCTGTATGTGGGATCCGACCCCTCGGGCGGGAGCGCCGCCGCGCTTCCCAAGCGGCGCACTTATCCAGTGCACCACCGGGCCGGCCCTACAAGGCACACACTTTTTTTTTTTTTTTGTCTCTTGTCGTTTTCCGTGTCCGGCAACGGATTGCAACCCTCAGGGTTGTCCCCGTACCGGCCCGGGGACCGGCAACGGGATTGCAACCCTGGTTGTCGCTCCCGCGCTTCGCTCAGCCCGCGAGCGGGAAACGGTCTGTATGTGGGATCCGACCCCTCGGGCGGGAGCGCCGCCGCGCTTCCCAAGCGGCGCACTTATCCAGTGCACCACCGGGCCGGCCCTACAAGGCACACACTTTAAGTAATTTTACCAAATGATATGCTTGAAAGCTTAGTATAAAGTTTATACAAATAGAAGGCATTTCTAGAAGATATAAATTAAAAGATACATTCTCATACATACACACATGCTCTTGTAACAATGCAGAAATCGATACTAAAGCAAAATGCCACATAACTGAGATAAGTTTGGACTAGACTCCTTTCAAGTTCTATGAATCTGTATACATAGCCAAAAAAGGATACTGTATGTGATATTCAAATAGTATCGTCCAGCTGGTAATGTCGGATGTAAGTCACTGTTCCGCTCTATAAGACGATATAACTTACGAAAAGTAGGTAATGCTGCAGTACGCATCCAAACAATAAAATCCTCATTTATGAATCCATTATTATCTAGGTCAGAATCCAGCATATATACAGGTTTAAGCCAGTTAACTGGCTTTGTAGTACCTTAAAAAGGAGGAAGGGAGGGATGAGAAAACAAAATATTCAGTTCTACTGGGAGTTTCACTGAAAATTCACTCTATGAACATAAAGATATGCAATACACAATTGAGTGTTTTTATTAATTTCAAAGGTATAAAAATATTCATATTCTACAGAAGTCTTAAAATCTATACTGAAACCAATTCCTCATGTAACAACTTAACAGAAAATTACAAAGACTTGGTTATCTCCATTAAGAGAATACTAAAAGTTGGCTATTGAGTATATAACAAAAGGCACATTACTTAATGCAAAGATATAATGCTAAGAAACATTACATTGTAAAATTAAGGTGGCATAGAAACAAAAATAAATTTAGATAAATAATAGGGGCTTGTTTAAATGAAACTTTGCCACAGTTTTAATAGATTATGGCTGAAATTCTTATAAGAAAACACCAGAGAAATTGAATTCATAATTAAAGTATACATGTCCTTTAGAATTTTAGTACATTAGGACATTTACTTAACCTGGTATGAAATTGAGGAAAGAAATTTTTTTTTTTTTTTTTTTTTTTTTTTTAAAGCATAGAGTTTTTAAAAGATTTTAAAGATAGAAAATTTAAGGTATGTCATTAGAATTCCGAGGTTTTTTTTTAAGGGATATTAATGATGTTTTACCTTTAAATCGTTCTTCCAGGTTTTCTCCTCCAGGGGGATTTCTGAATTTCACATTTTTGTCTGTCCACCAAGCAATACCTTTCTTTTTTAAAGGAATAGGTGTAAGATAAGTGTCATTGCCAACCAGAAACAATTCTAATGTATCTAAACACAAAAAAGAAAAGATATTAATAAAAATTTATTGAAAACCCATAGTACCTGCTTTACTCTATAAGAAATAAGGATCTGGTATTTACTCTCAAAAGTGATTGTAACATAGTAGGCATATGATCCACATTTGTTCTTTATTAATATGCAGATTAGCTATGGCAAGCTTACAATTCTAAAAGGACTTCTCTTCCCTCAATACAGTTCTAAGTAACTTTCTTATATGGCTAGCTAATGTGGGATAAGATCAAATATTTTAATATTAACCCAAATAAAACTGCAAGGCAAATCTGCCTCTCCTTCTTTCCTTTCAATAATGTATTCCTAATAGATTCTGTCTTATACATTTCTCTATATGGACTGTCCAGTACAGTAGCCACTAGGCACACATGGTTACTGAGTCCTTTAAATATGATCAGTCCAAATAAATACACTCTGGAACTATATAATACACATCAGATATAAAAGACTTAGAACAAAAAACAGAATATAAACTATCTCAATAAGTTTTACATACTATCATATGCTGAAATGATATTTTGGATAAACTGGATTAAATAAAATATTTTATTGAAGGGCCAGCCCAGTGGCGCACTCGGTAGAGGGCGGCACTTGGGAGCGTGGCGGCGCTCCCACTGAGGGTTCGGATCCCATATAGAGACCGGTCCGCTCACTGGTTGAGCACGGTGCGGGCGCGACGCCGAGGGTTGTAATCCCGTTGCTGGTCGCGGTACGGGCGCGACACCGAGGGTTGCAATCCCGTTGCTGGTCGCGGTACGGGCGCGACACCGAGGGTTGCAATCCCGTTGCTGGTCGCGGTACGGGCGCGACACCGAGGGTTGCAATCCCGTTGCTGGTCGCGGTACGGGCGCGACACCGAGGGTTGCAATCCCGTTGCTGGTCGCGGTACGGGCGCGACACCGAGGGTTGCGATCCCGTTACCAATCACGAAAAAAGACAAAAAGGAAAAAAATATATATTTTATTGAAATTAATTTCACTAGCTTCTTTTGGCTGTTTTTAATGTCTCTACTAAAAAATTTAAAATTACCTACATGTTCACATATAGGTAATGGTTCACATATAGGTAATATAATGGTTCACATTATATTTCTATCAGATAGTGCTGCTCTAAATGATCAACTATAGCTCCATTTTAATGATATAAATAAAATCATTGGGAAAGTCAGCCTGGCTTTTATTTTACCTTATATGAAATCGGAAGATTAGCAAAATGTCTCTGCTTCTTTTCTTCTCAGAGACAGAAATACATTCTTAAATAGAAGAATGCTCAAAAAAAAATCCACAAAGCATTATAATATCCCATTCAATACCTATATCTTATCTTAAAGGCTCCTGAATTTGAGATACTTATCTTAATATATACTTATCTTAAAGTTGATACACTTATCTTAAAGTATACACTTACTGATATAATTATCTTAAAGTTCTTGAACTTCTCAATTTCATTCATGTTTACTACACTACCAAATCTGTAATAAGATTATACAAATTGTCCAAATTATATACAATGGTACTTCAAACAGTTCACAGAAAAATTGAACTAAAAGATAATACAAATCTTTCCATGAACTTTTTAAAGATAGATATATCTAATCTATATCTATGTTTGTATCTATATCATACCATTAAACATGCTGTTGGCAATAGCTCCACAAGGAGCAATTGGTTTGTCTTCATTTCTTCGATAAGGCTCACACTCTTTACTGGGATTCTGGTTTTCAGAAGGAAAAAAAGAGAGAAATTACTACCCAGGCCTCTGGGATAACTATGAGCTATCCCTAGCTCATTTTTACTGACTGGAAATTCAACCCATACATTTTTCCCACTCATAATGTATACAAAATGAGTCAGTAATGTAAGTAGGCTATAAATAACATCACACTTAAATACTCAATGTATTCCTTAACATTATTGTATTACCTTTGTAATGTAAACCTGACCTGTGTATATTTTGTCATGTATGCATATATCAAATTAATATCTTTTTGATTTTCACTTCAACACAGAAACCATTACACAAAGTTTTCCACCCAAGAAAAATTTTAAAATGGTCTACTGTCAATGGTGCTATAATAAAAAGAATCTTAAACTGGCAGTAAAGAGACTAGAAGTGCTAATTCCTTGGACAACTCCCTTGACGAAACTGGGCTTCACATATAAAATGAACATGTCCAACTAGATAACCTCAAATTTTGTAATTTGGGGTTAAATTCCATGTTTAAGGAAGGAAGAAATCTAATGCAGATTCCTAGAATATACCAGTCTTTAAACTGTGCACCCAGGTGCAAGGAAGAGCATTGGTCTGTACTTCAGATTTAATTTTGACTTAGTCTTTATTGAAGAGCTCAAGGAGATGTGGCAGTTACAGGGTTAAACTAGAGACTATATCAAGTCTAAAGTTATATCTATGTCTGAGTTGTTCTGGGCCTCTCAGGCCACATTAAGCTATGCCTCAAAACACATCAACAGACCAAGATAATCTCAATTTGAAATTAACTAGACCCTAGTTAGATCTCTTAGGGTTATTCCATTACCAGCTAACCTTGACTTGTATCTACATTCTCTATGTCTAGAGACTTTTCCACTGTGTGGGTGGAAAAGACAGCAATGTTTGCTTCATTGGCAACAATTACATAGAATACTTGGGCACTAACCATCACTATGGAAAGCTGAACAACAGTTGTGAAACTATGATCCCCTAAATCCAGATTCCCAAACCAGGCTGGGCATCAGAAGGGGAGCTTATTAAAAATATTCTAAAGCTCCATTTCTGTACCCTGACATATTAGGAGATTTCTGGAATCTATATTTCCAGAAAACTCCTCAGACAATTTTTCAGTAAACCTACCTTATGAATGTGCTGCCCAGGCTTTCCACAAGTTAAAAAATGGAGAGCATACATATTCAATTTTAAAACACAATTCCAGAAGTTAAAAGTAGCTTATTTACTATGATGGTTTAGAAGCTTGTCCCCTCCAAAACTAATGTTGAAACCTGATCCCCAATATGGCAGTGTTGGAAGGCAGGACCGAGTCAGAGGTGTTTGGTCATGTGGGCTATGCCCTCATGAATAGATTAATGCCCTTGTGAATAGATTGATGTCTCAGGAGAGCTGGGGGGGGGGGGGGGGGTGCGTTATCACATTTAGTTCTGTGAAATCTGGTTGTTAAAAAGAGACTGACACCTCTCTTCCCTCTCTTTCTTCCTCTCTTGCCATGTTATCTCACACACACCTGCTCCCCTTCCACTTTCCACCATAACTGGAAGCAGCCTGAGGCCTTCGTCAAACGTAGCTGACCAATCTTGGACATTTCGGCCACCAGAAACATGAGCCAAATAGATCTCTTTTCTTTCTAAATTACTCTGACTCAGATATTCTGTTACAGCAACACAAAACAGACTAAGACATTTACACACTCCTTCCTAGTGTAATAATAATGAACAAACCCAAACAGAACAACCAGAATGCTAGACTCATCAAAATTCCACTTATCAGCAGATTAATGAAGCAAAAATCCTGAAGACACTACTAGAAAAAAGCAGGTGGTAATATGTCTTCTGGATGTAATAAAGCATTAATCTGTACAAATTCTAGGAAAAAAAATTTTTTTAAAAACCCTCACTATACAAACTACAAATGACAAATAACACTTTAATTTCATTCTAACATTATTAAATACTTTGACATTTCTAACTGAAAAATTACATGTTCTTATTTCACAGATATCACATTTTCATATTTCATCACTTTACTTACAAGCAAAGCATTAGAATCTCCGTTTAATTGACTATCATCTCGAGATTTCACATAACGACGATGATTTTGATAGAAATTAGATAGTCCATAATACATAAACACATTGCCCTAGAGAAACAAAAGAGGGAACTTTTTTCACATATATTAAATATAATATTCTATTATATATAAACTTGTGTTATGTGTACATAAAAGTTATATAATTTGGACTTTACTAGTTTGCAACTTGTAAGAACAGGTATTGAGGTGAATTCTGCCAATACTTAGCAATCTAAAATGGTATAATTATTAGTAAGGTTAAAGAAGGTATGTTACAAAAATCCAAGAGTAAATTTTGAAACTATCCTTAGACTTCAAAGAAGTACTATTTACATTAAAAAAATAACCCTCGAGGAATCTCTCAGCCTACCCTGAGCTACTTTCAATTTAAGATCTTCTCTAATTTAGATTGGTCTTCACCCAATTAGCACCAACTTTTTAGAGAGATAATGGCCAAACTTTCATTTTTTGTCCAGGTCAATTCTGAACTTGAATCAGGATATAATAAACTTCTCAAAAGGACACTGTATAAGATTAGCAATTAATAAACTAGTAATTAGTAAAGTATCTAAGACAGTGAGTCACTTTATAATAATCAAAAAAAGTACTTAAACTATTTAGTGAAGCCAACTTTGAAATAACTTGGGAAAGAAGGGTGACCTACATACACTAAATTATTTAGGAGATGCTAAGAAGCCATCTTAAATGACTACAATTTTTAGAGGTAGCAAAACCATTATGGTTTTTTTTCTTCTTTCTGGTTGCTACCTCTATTTTCTATATTCTTATCCTCAATTAAAAGGAATTCAGTAACATAAGTATGCTTTATTTGATTTGCTACTTTCATATACATTATTATTTATTTAAAGTTTGATTTTCAACGTTGAACCATGCAAACTTTCCCATTCTATATAAAGGAAATGTTTACATGGGGACCTTTTTTTGGGTGGGAGGGGAGGATCAAAATCACATCACTGAAACAGAGACAATGATGATACTTTTAAAAAAAAAGTATTACCTCAATTAAGAATCAGTACAGTAAATTCAATTTGCAAATTGAGCAAGAGATCCTTTCAATGAATTTTGAACTTCCCTAAAAAGGCTTTAGTCCAATTAAAAGTTTGGGCTTGTGAAGAAACATAGAACCCACCAGAAAATGAATCTGTTGATCGCCTTTGCAAACGAAAAGTTCTAAAATAAGTGTTTTTGAATGGGGGAGGAGACTAATGGAATTTCTAAATCATTACAAGTCTCTCATTTCTTCCATTCTACCTCTTCTGACAAAAGCAGAACTTAGTGCATCTTTATAGTTTACCCATCACATTGAAAAACAAAGGATTTTTATAGACGCTTTGAATTTCTATGTTATTTTGGCTGAAACAAAGTTAAATGATTAAATACCTATCTTCTCCCAAATTTGTTTTCATGTTTTTTTCTTTTTTTTTTTTTTTTTTAAAAAAGATGACCGGTAAGGGGATCTTAACCCTTGACTTGGTGTTGTCAGCACCACGCTCACCCAGTGAGCAAACCGGCCATCCCTATATGGGATCCGAACCCGTGGCCTTGGTGTTATCAGCACCGCACTCTCCCGAGTGAGCCACAGGCCGGCCCAATTTTCATGTTTTTTTCAAAGGCAGCATTATCCTGTCCTTTACCACTGTGCAAGAGAATCTATAACCATTAGATGGCAACCATCTCCCAGGAACTACTAAAGTCGTCTCTACCTTTAGAAAATCTGATATGCAGAAAATCTAAAAAACTGGCATGTATTAAAGAAGTTTTGATCCCTGAAAAATAATTGTTTTAAGCTCAGTTTTCAGACAAAGGAGAGTACAAAGTGGTCTTTCCATGCCTATTCTCAATTTTTATGTCCTTTAACATGTGCTCAGTGGAATCAGTGTGAATGTAAAAGACACAAAGACACGTGCACGCGCGTGCATGCACACAAAAACACGGGGAAATCTACTTATCAAAATATAAAAGATCAGTAAAGTTTTAATAAGTGTTTACATTTTTGATAATGCTTCCTATTCCATAGAAGAATAATTCCATTGAATGATAGAATTAGTGTTTATTTTCTAAAGTAAAACTTGTTTTAATATTAAAAGCATGCAAAACAATTTGAGCAATAATTTTAAAAATACAATCACGTGTAGATATAAACGATAGAAAACTGATTTGTACAATTACAAAATTTTCCAGTGAAAGGATAAAATATATCTTAAATTTTGTCTAAAACATACTAAGTAACCACTCAAATAAATGTATTTAATTACCAGACAGCAAAATACAACAACAAAACTAAAAGTGTATGAACTCCAATAAATTAAAAAAGACTTTTCTATTAAAAAAAAACTAATAAAAAACATCTAGAACAATATCAACACTTTTAAAAGCACAGCTTTTCTAACACATTACTTAGAAACACAGACCTCAAATGACTCTTCCAGAGTGAAGTTAATGGTACAAATGCAAGGTGTCACAGCCGGAGACAAACATTTATTGCAAGGACTGGAAGGCTCTGTTCCGGTATAATCAATCTGTAAGAGAAAAATATAACTAAGTACTTCCTTAAAGAAACTACATACCTAAAACACTATGAAATAACTTGCTACAAGAAAGAAAAATAAGTCCAATGAATCAATCTACAGTCCAGACAAAAAACTGATTTTAAGGTCATCTGTCTGACAGTGTGAGGTAGTAAAAATTAGAAATGGTCCTCTGTTGTTCTACTGGCTGATCTTTCCAAGTAAAGTCCTCTCTCATTTTTAGCAAAAGAAATACAATTATGCATAAAATCATTCAAAACTGTATGATGCATATTTAAATAGCTATAAAGTCTAAACTATTAAAATACTAGATGAATAAAGATCATCAATAAATCAGCTTTTCAGCTTAAATCTTTCTATCATAAATACTTTTCAGTCACCACCACTTCCCATGGTACACTTTCAAATTAAAAAAAAAAAGAAAAAAAATTATAAGGTTTTCAAAGGTTACAATTTTTTTCAAAACTTGGTGTTAAATTTGTCTTGTCTTTGTCCTGGGTTCCTGGCAGGGCACTTCACCCTTGGAATTTCCCCAGTGATAGGAGTAACCCTGCTATCATAAGCCCCTTGATTCACACCAGATTTTATACTAACAAGAGGGCTTGGGATGGTGGCTGGTCACCAGAAAGACCAATCTTGTGATTATAGGCTTTAGTTCAGCCCAACACCTGGGCAAGGAGCAGGACTGGAAATTTAGTTCAACCAAATAGCCAATGTTCAATCATGCCTACATCAGGAAATTGCAATAGACACTCTGGACACTGAAGTGCAGGGGAAATTTCTGGTTGGTGAACCCACTGATGTGCTGGGAGGGTGACGTGCCATGCGTATACAAAGAGAGGGCACAGAAGCTCTGTGTTCAGGACTCTTCCAGACTGCGCCCTATGTGTCTCTTCCAGGAATTGTCCCACCCCCAGATTTATAGCCAGTTGGTCAAAAGTGTGGGTGACCTAGAGTAGAGACCCCTAAACTTGCAACTGGCATCTGAAGTGAGGGCAGTCTTATGAGGAGGTGGGGGGCAGGATCTTGGGAACCCCCTGGATTTGGAGCTGACTGGAAAGAAATGTATATGGCCTGGGGATTGAACTTGCAGCTGCTGTCTGAAGCAGTGACAGTCTTGTTGGGGACCATACCCTTAAACTTGTGAGGTCTGATACTCACTTAGGGTGGTCAGTGTCAGAATTGAATGGCAGTATACTGATTGATGTCAAAAAACCTGATCTGCTAGCTAAATTGAAAGACTTTTTTCCCATTATAAATAAAAAAAAATTTTTTTCAATAGACTTTTATTTTTTAAAGTACTTTTAGGTCTATAGCAAAATTGAACAGAAAGTACCATAAGTTCCCATATAGCCTGTGACCCACACGTGCATAACCTCCCCCTCTATCAACCTCAGCCACCAAAGTGCTATATTTGTTATAATCGATGAACCTACATTGACACATTGCCATCACCCAAAGTCCATAGTTTATATCAGGGTTCACTCTTGGTGTTGTATACACTATGGGTTTTGACAAATGTATAATGACATATATCCACCATTATAGTATCATATAGAATAGTTTCACCGCCCTAAAAATCCTCTGTACTCTGCCTATTCATCCCCCATCTCCCCACTAATCCCTGGCAATCACTGATCTTTTTACTGTCTCCATAGTTTTGCTTTTTCCAGAATGTCATATAGTTAAAATCATACAGCATGCAGCCTATCCACACTGTCTTCTTTCACTTAGTAATAAGCACTTAAGGATTTACATGTTTTTTCATGGCTTCATAGCTTATTTATTTTCAGCACTGAATAATATTCCACTGTCTGGATTACCACAGTTTATTTATCCATTCACCTACTAAAGGACATCTTGGTTAATTCCAAGTTATGGCAATAATGAATAAAGCTTCTATGAATATCCGTATGCAGGTTTTTGTATAAACGTAAGTTTTCAACTCCTTTAGGTAAATAAAAGGAGTGCAACTGCTGCATCATATGGTAAGAGTATGTTTACTTTTGTAAGAAACTGCCACAGTGTCTTCCTAAAGAGCTGTACCATATTGCATTCCCACCATCAATGAATGACAGTTCCTGTTGCTCCACACCAGCATCTGATGTTGCTAGCATTTTGGATTTTCACCATTCTACTAGTAGGTAGTGGTATCTCATTGCTGTTTTAATTTGCAATTCCCTAACAACATTTGAAGTATCTTTCACACGTTTACTTGCCATCTGCATGTTACAGACTGAATGTTTGTGTCTCCCCCCCACCCCCAAATTCATATGGTGAAGCCCTAACCTCCAGTATGATAATGTTTGGAGGTGGGGCCTTTGGGCAGTAATTAGGTTTAGATGAGGTCATGAGGGTGGGGCCTCCATGATGAGATTAGTATCCTTATGTGAAGAGGACGAGAGACCAGAGCTCTATCATCTGAGGACAAAGCAAGAATGCAGCCACCTAAAGACAGGAAAAGAGTCATCAGTAGGAACCACATCTTCTGGAATCTTGATCTTAGGACTTCCCAGCCTCCAGAACTGTGAGAAATAAATGTCTGTTGTTTAAGCCACCCAGACCACAGTATTCTGTTATAGCAGTCCCAGCTAATTAAGACACTGTTATATGTTCTTTGGTGAGGTTTCTATTCAGGTCTTGTGCCCATTTTTAATCACATTGTTCATTTTCTTATTGTTGAGTTTTAAGAGTTCTTTGCATATTTTGGATAATAGTCCTTTATCAGATATACCATGGCAAATATTTTCTCCCAGTCTGTGGCTTGTCTTCTCATTCCCTTGATAAAAGAAGAATTTTATCATAAACAGCCCTAATTACTTGTACCTTAATAACACACACAAAAAATTATTCATCTAATCTTTATTTCTGGAAGAAACTGAACATATAAACTTTACATGTGGATGTTCAATTTCTCTTTATAACTGAAAAAAGATAAAAGGAAGGTTAAAATCTGTATCTACAAAATAGAGCCAGCATCTAATTACAACATCTATTTACCTTTTAAAGTTCATATAATTGCTTAATAAAACATGGTTTTGTCAAACTCTGATATAATCTCCTATAGAAATGTTTTCCACGAAAACTTGTTCACTAGTGAAACTTTGTTCTGAGAAAATTTTCTTTCACTGTAAATATCTAAGAAAAGCTAGGCACATCACTAAAACAAATAAACTAAAAACACAGGTCTCCCAAATGAAGAGCGGCAAAGCATATGTAATTTGGAATAGACCTACTTGGCCACAAATTTGCACACAGAGCCTAGGCATGCACAATATTCCACTTAACCACCAAATTTTGTGATGTTGAGGAGATGAAAAAAAAGATGAGACCATGTAGAAGAACAAATTATATTTAGAAATCTCTGTACATTTTATCCCTTCTTTTTTAAGACTAATCTAAGGATTAAAAAAAAAGTTGCCAGCTGGTCCTATTTTCATATTGTATGTTTTTGAACAGAAACCTCTCAAATCACTCTCTAGGGCAAAGTTTCTAGGACAAAGTCTGAAAGAGATATCATCAGTTGTGATAAAGCAAGGAGATACATTCATTACTTAACTAAGAAAAATAATTAAATTGATGGAATTTGAAATCTAATAAATTATACTACAGTGTAAACCTGAACATTTTATTGGAACCAGGAATAATGCTGAATATTAAATTTCACTTGAACAAAATCACAGGATAGCTGCAACATTTTCATCACAATCTATTGATTACAATTTATAAAATGTATAAAAAAAATTACATGTCTTTTGATTCCAGGAAAATCTGAAAGGAGTCTTTAAAAAAATCATTATCATTAACATATTAAGCCTTACTATATGCAAGGCATGATACAAGGTACAACATATATACAAAAGCAATCGTATTTTATACTTAGTCAATGCAGTTTACACAGCTCTTACTTTCTTAAATATTTCATCTGATCCTCACCAAAATCTTATAGTGTTAAGCTACATTTCAGATAAAAAGAACATGTTCAGAAACTTGCCCAAGGTCACACAAGTAGCAATAGCTAGTGCTGACTCTAAGCCTAATGTTCTTACTACTAAACTGCTTTTTCTCAAGAACAGTTAGTCCCCTTTGCCATCTAACAGAGTACTTTATCAAAGATAGCACAGGAATACAAAGAAAGCTACTATAAAATGCTACGTGCTAAACTGGATGGCATAGAGGGACAATAAATAGTAGATGGACCAGTATTTTCTCACTGAGAAGAAAGAGGATTTGAACAGAGCCATAAAAGAAAGACGAAAAGAAGAGAAAGAAGGGGCATATGGGAAAGAAAGAAAGTAGAAAGCATGAAGTACATTTAAAAACAATGAGCATAAACCTTTGGATTTGTAGAGAGTTTTCATGCTGGAAGGAAATAAGACAAGGCTAAGAAGGTAAACTGGAGCCATAATTATATGTTGTGTTTTACTGACTAGTGTTTATTGAATGTGTACTAAGTGCCAAACATTACAGTGTATTAAATGCCAGACATTATTATTATATATCATCTCATTTAAAAAGTACAATAGCCCGGCAAAGTTTGCTTTTATTTTCCTTATTTTAAATTAGGAAACTGTCATTTAGGAAGTTTTGGTAATTTTCTCAGGATCACCCAGCTAGTAATTCTGAGCAAGAGTATGAACTCAGCCCTGCCTGACTCCAACACCTATGCTGTTTCCACTATACTTTGCCCTCTCACACAGTGGACATGTGCTTTCTGATATACAACTCAGGTCCTCCAGATTATAAGAATGAAGAAAAACCTCTGATAGATAATTGTGATTTGTTACTTTGTTGTTGTTTTTATTTACCTGACTAGCATTCAAACACATTTCCAAGTACTGTGGAATTCTCTACTGTGAGAATTTTGGAGGGATGTGGGGCTCCACCTCCCACGTCAGAAGCCAAAGGGAGAGATGGATACTTCTCCCTAATCCATGGTAGCCAGTACAAAAGTACAAGATCTAGACATCAATCACACAGTTCCACATACA